TTCATCAACAGGCAGCAGCAGCTAATCTTTCTTTGCCATACAAATTCGTTGTTTTTCGACCTCATTCGATCCAGCTACTTTCTCCTCAAACATTATAGGCACAACAACTTTTCGCCATTTCGGTTCTGTGAAAATCAGACCCACAATGTGATCGTTGATCCATAGGAAAAAAGCCTGCTTTCACGTCTTAAAAATGCTGTGAAGCTAAGTTTTATTTGGATCATAAAAATCACTAAAGTCAAATCGAGCTTTACACGGTTTTCAGAATAACAAGTAAAACAGAAAGGGAACATCAACAGCAACAGCAAAGGTTTTACATATAATGATTGGAAACAAACAACTCCCACGGGTAAAAAAAGTTTAACATAATATGCTTGTGAAATAAGTCGAGCGATAATGGCTTATTCTGATCACATGCTGCAATCTATAAACAAAATGCATTTTCACCTATATGAAAAACACTGGGAGATTGGGAACGAGGATATGAAGTAAACAAGTAATTAATCATGCAATATGAAAGTTCACATTACAAGAGTCTTCTTTTTTTCTTCATTTGGAGAATAAGTTTATCCTCAAATCTCCAAGAGTTCAGGCTCTAAAATGTATCTATCTCATTGCAAGCAGAAAATTAGACATGAACAGGGAGCAATGGCTCAAAAATAAATACAAAAGGACGAACGAGCAAATGAAACTACAAAATCTAACATAACAACTACTGTCATGACAATTACCTTTAATTAGTCAAGCATTCTAAGAAAACAAAACAATAGCAACCAAACATTACCATAAAAAACTCAACAAACTCCAAAGATATCAGCTAATCTAGATTCAGAACAAGCCCCAAAGATTACATCTAAACCCTAAATCCAAACTATTTCAAGCAAAAAAATTTGTCGATACAAACAAATCTTTGAAACGTAAAAGCAGAAAACTGTAGCAAGCACCTCAACTCAAATCCCACGATGAATCTCGATATAGAGAAAGAAAGAATGTGCGATTGATTCAGAAGAATTACCTAAAAAACCCACGATGAATCTCGAAAAAACAAAGAAGAAAGACTGTACGATTGAATCAAAAAAATTAGGAAAAAACCTAAAATCCCACGATGAATCTCGACTTAAAGACAGAATGTGCAATCGAATCAGAATAAAAACACAGAAGAAAGACTGTACGATTGAATCAAAAAAATCTCGTAAAAACGAAGAAAGAAATGTTAAAAAATTTTGAAGGAAAAAAAATTTGGACCATTTCTCGATTTATGCGTGTCATCCTTGCGCAGGGGCCATGCTAATCTTCTCTGTATCGTTCCAATTTTATCGGATGTCCCCGAAGGGACGATGTAAGGTCTAGAAGCAGTGTAATATTAACAAACAGAAATAGATTTTGTTTTCCGATGTGGGACTAAAATTGAGGGTTTGTACTGAATACTGATCTTCTCTTCCCTCGTTCACTTCTTATTCGTGGGCTGGACTCTCTTGTATGTATTGGATATTTAGGCGTTCACTTTTTGTACGTGGGCTGGACTTTATTGTTATATGAAATTAAATCTTTTCTTCGCAAGGTAGATAGCGGATGGATATGTATATAAATTATTAATTACTATCAAAATGTAATATAAAATATCCACATATTAATTAGATTTTTAGTTTTTTTTTTCCAGTAATTTACGTTTTTATATCTTCCTGTAAGAAATTTATTTATTTTTTACGTTTGAAAAAGTGACATACTTTTTCCAACATACATTTGATTCACCAAAATTTTCACGAAAATAAGTGACAATTACAATAAGGTAAAATTGACCACTTATTCAACACTCTTAATAAATTAGGGGAAAAAAAATAAAAAAAATTGACCACTTATTCTCAAGTGAAAAGCTGAAGACGATAGATAATCCAAAGCACAGAATTTATACTGTGTTNCCTTTGCAATATACAATCCGAACAAGAAGCTATATTGGACAACGAATATGCCAAAAAAAAATAAGTACCGAAAAGATTGGTTTGTTAAGCAACTTGAGAGCGAGTGTTATATCGTGGAAAACTAAAGGGCGGCCTTTTCCCGATAGCTCGATGGGGTTCGCGACCAGAAGCTCGGTATCAGGCCCACGGCTGATCAGGCCCACTCTTAGGGGTCGGCTGAGCTCCATTTCGAGACGGGCGGTCAAAGTGCTCTGCTTGCTTGGGTCAACTATCTTCTTACCGTCTTCTTGCATGATGAATAAGTCGAGCTCGCATTCCGTTTCACCTTTCTTTGTGAGTCGACCATATGAAATCTGATGGTGATTACAAAGATTAGTCGGTAGTTTATATTCGGAAAAATTACATTTTTAGTCATGCTGGTTTAATGCCATAGTAATTTTAATTCCAATGGTCCAACATTTTGCTTTTCGGTCTTGTGATTTAATATTTTGCTGCAATTTCAGTCAGTTCTTCGAGGATTAAAATTGCAACAAATTCCCAAATTTTGTAAAATTAGGTCCTGTTGTAATTTGGAAAGAAAAAATAGGGGATAAATTTTACTGCATAGATGATGGAACTAACTGTATATATACCTGTATGTTGTAATCCTTCAATGTGCGCATGATATCGTACAAAAGGCCTTTATGGTCCTCGCAAATGATTTGGACGAGCGTGTGGGAAGGACTCAACGAGTTATCAATTGTGATTGATGGGCATTTGAATGCAACTGAATCGACTCTATTTTCGTTCGGATTCTCCATACCGAACATTTGTCGGGCAATCGAGTCCGAAACAAACGAGGGTTCTTGAGAAGAAGAGGACACGGTCTCGGGGCCCACGAGCTCTATGTCGCAACTGATATTTGCATCTCCAATAATTGCTTTTAGATGGTCGAAAGTGTCGTCTTTTCTCGTTTTTGTGTGCAGAAGTTTCCTGAGAAAGAGTTTCGAATGAAAGTTTTTTTGGTAAATTAAAGAATTCTTTACTTTAAGATTAGGAGCTGCTAAAAAGCTAACAATAAAGTTTTCTTTTCTTTTCTTTTTCTTCCCGACAAGAATGGAAAATTCAAAAAAACCTTGTGTCGGTTACAAAGAAGAGGTCCATGACTTTTCCATCCGGAGTTGTTGAGACCTTCACTCTCTCTATTGTAAGCTCGAGCTCACAGAGAACTTTTGTTACATCTGCCAAAGAATTTCTCCAAATTTCAACTCATTTCGTAAAAACTCGTGAAAACTAATCATATCAATAACTGAAGATCGGTAGACTTAAAAGAGAAAACATCAATTGGCTTTTCACAATGGAG